CCTCCCCTCCTCCTTGTGTGGTCTGCGGGTCCAGAGTTTGCGTTTCACTTTGGTTTTTCACCCTGGTCTCTGCTGGGGGCCCGCAAGCAGATCCTGAGACAAGGACTTGGAGGGACAGCATTTCTTGGGGAATTCCAGGAAGCTGCCGTGGGGGAGCTGGAGGTGACGTGGGGAAGGGCCAGCCCAGGGCTGCGGCTCAGGTGTTCGCCCCGACACGGTGGCCTGCCCTGTGTGCTGCTGAGGAGGTCTCAGGCAGAAGCTGCAGAGGGAAGGGAAAGGCAGGAGAAGCCGGAGCTGCAGAGTCCTCTTCCTACCGAGCCGGCGCTCCAGGCCCAGGGGAGCCCTGTGGGTCCGGACCCCCCAGCTGCTGTGGCAGCACCTGGCCCACTTGTTGTAGGGTCCAGCCCTACAGGGTCGCGGGGTGTCCCCTATCGCTGTGCTGAGGCTTTGGATCCAAGAAACAAAGAGACAAGACACCAAAGGACTAGAAAAGACAGCCGGGCTGGAGGGGCCACGCCACCTATGAGCGGAGACGGTCCAGGGCCATCTGTATTTATTGGGTATAGGTTTGGGGGTGCAGTAGTGAGCGAGGTGAGGACAGTGATAGGGTCAAGACAATCACGTGAGCGATAAGCAGGGGGCCCACCCCCATCAGGTCACCAAGGAGGTGGGCAGTGCGCAGCAAGGGGGTTGCAGGGTGCCACGTCTCTGATCCAGGGGCGGCAACTTCTACGAATTTCTATAGGAGGGTGCTCTGGGTCAGCACAGCAGCTACCGAGCTAACAGGGTCTGCAGCCACCCGCTGGCAGCTTCCAGTGATTTCTATAGCAGGATGCTTTGAGGCAGTGCATAGCAACAGAGCTGATAAGGTTCACAGCCACCAAGGCGCGGTTATACCCAGGGGTTTTAAGCCCCGGACGCTCTCAGGAGTGCCGGTCTGAGGGCACCTTCCACAAGAACTGGGCTTCACGCTGCAACTCCTTTTCAGGAGGAGTGGCTCTCGCCCCAAGCCTGCCACACAGCGGGTGTCTTTACGATACTGAATGCTGCCGCCTGGGCCGTAAACTCTTGTCCTGGTATAACTGTTTTCCTTAAATCATGCTCTGTGCCGTGTCTGCTCTAGACATTCCTCCGACTATAAACTAAGATATAATCATGTATATATATGTAAGGAAATGGCTGAGCCGTAAGAATATTCCTCAGGCACTGGTTGTTCTGACAATAGATAATACATGATTATACATAATGGAAATGGCTGAGTAGTAGCACTATAAACTAAGGTAATCTTCAGGCGCTAATTGTGTTGGGGGTCTGCTTAGCTCTCCCTCCTTGGTGCCCAGAAAGGGGATTACCCACACTCGTCTGCAGCCGGGTCCTGCTGCCAACCTCAGCCCTCGGTGCCAACCTCATGCCAGCAGGGCATGTGGGGCTCGGGGGTCCGATGTTGCCCCGGTTTGGATCTTCCAGCCTTGGGGTGGAGGTATCAGCCCTTCCTAGGGAGCAGTGAGCAAACCTGCAGACGCAGAAACTTCAGAGCAACTGGGGATCAAACTTCAGGGGCCGCCTGCCTGGATGTCCTCACCAGGGCTCTGCCCATTCTGATGTAAGTCCTGGGCTTGGGCCTCCTAGTCACTGCCCTCCCGCTGCAGAGTGGAGAGCAGAGATGCCGCCTGGAACCACAGAGGGCCCTGACGCCACATGGGCTCAGCCCTGCCTTCCAGCTGCCCCCCCTTCCAGCTGCCCCCCCTTCCAGCTGCCCCCCTTCCAGCTGC